AGAAAGAGTTCTTGCCTGTATTACAAGGTGTGAAGTTGAGTAAGACTCAAAGCCCGACCACGGTAGAAGATAGAAAGAGAATGAAAGTCATTCCCTATGCTTTGGCCATAGGTTCTATAAAGTATGGCATGCTGTGTACCAGATCTATTGTATACCCTGCACTGATTTGGCAAGGGAGTACAATAGTGATCTAGGAGTAGATCACTGGACAGCGGTCAGAATTATCCTTAGTGAAATAAGGATATGTTTCTCGATTATGGACGTGACAAAAAAGGTTCGTCGTAAAGGGTTACGTCGATGCAAGTTTTTGACACTGATCCAGATGATTCTAAGTCTCAATCTGGATACATATTGAAAGTGGGAGCAATTAGCTAGAGTAGCTCCATGCAGAGCATTGTAGACATAGAATTTTGCAAAATACATACGGATCTGAATTTGGCAGGCCCATTGACTAAATTTCTCTCACAAGCAAAACATGATCACTCTTTGGGTGTTAATCACATAGTGATGTGAACTAGATTATTGAATCTAGTAAACCCTTTGGGTGTTAGTCACATGGAGATGTGAACCAATCACATAAAGATGTGAACTATTGGTGTTAATCACATAGCGATGTGAACTAGATTATTGACTCTAGTGCAAGTGGGAGACTGAAGGAAATATGCCCTAGAGGCAATAATAAAGTTATTATTTATTTCCTTATTTCATGATAAATGTTTATTATTCATGCTAGAATTGTATTAACCGAAAACATAATACATGTGTGAATACATAGACAAACAGAGTGTCACTAGTTTGCCTCTACTTGACTAGCTCGTTAATCAAAGATGGTTATGTTTCCTAACCATGGACAAAGAGTTGTCATTTGATTAATGGGATCACATCATTAGTTGAATGATCTGATTGACATGACCCATTCCATTAGCTTAGCACCCAATCGTTTAGTATGTTGCTATTGCTTTCTTCATGACTTATACATGTTCCTATGACTATGAGATTATGTAACTCCCGTGTGCCGGAGGAACACTTTGTGTGCTACCAAACGTCACAACGTAACTGGGTGATTATAAAGGTGCTCTACAGGTGTCTCCAAAGGTACATGTTGGGTTGGCGTATTTCGAGATTAGGATTTGTCACTCCGATTGTCGGAGAGGTATCTCAGGGCCCTCTCGGTAATGCACATCACATAAGCCTTGCAAGCATTGCAACTAATGAGTTAGTTGCGAGTTGATGTATTACGGAACGAGTAAAGAGACTTGCCGGTAACGAGATTGAACTAGGTATTGAGATACCGACGATCGAATCTCGGGCAAGTAACATACCGATGACAAAGGGAACAACATATGTTGTTATGCGGTCTGACCGATAAAGATCTTCATAGAATATCTTGGAGCCAATATGGGCATCCAGGTCCCGCTATTGGTTATTGACCGGAGACATGTCTCGGTCATGTCTACATTGTTCTCGAACCCGTAGGGTCCGCACGCTTAAGGTTTCGATGACAGTTATATTATGAGTTTATACGTTTTGATGTACCCAAGGTTGTTCGGAGCCCCGGATGTGATCACGGACATGACGAGGAGTCTTGAAATGGTCGAGACATAAAGATTGATATATTGGAAGCCTATGTTTGGATATCGGAAGTGTTTCGGGTGAAATCGGGATTTTACCGGAGTACCGGGAGGTTACCGGAACCCCCCGGGAGCTATATGGGCCTTAGTGGGCCTTAGTGGAAGAAGAGGAGAGGCGGCCAGGGCTGGGCCGCGTGCCCCTCCCCCCTAGTCCGAATAGGACAAGGAGAGAGGGGGCCGGCGCCCCCCTCCTTTCTCTCTCTCTCTTTTCCACCTCGTGAATCCTATTCCAACTAGGATTGGGGGAGTAGGACTCCTCCTGGTCGGCCGGCCTTCCCCTTGAACCTTTATATACGGAGGCAGGGGCACCCCAGAGGAACACAAGTTGATCCACGGGATCATATTTTTAGCCGTGTGCGGCGCCCCCTGCCACCATAGTCCTCGATAATATTGTAGTGGTGCTTAGGCGAAGCCCTGCGACGGTAGTACATCAAGACCGTCACCACGCCGTCGTGCTGACGGAACTCTTCCCCGACACTTTGCTGGATCGGAGTCCGGGGATCGTCATCGAGCTGAACGTGTGCTAGAACTCGGAGGTGCCGTAGTTTCGGTGCTTGATCGGTCGGGCCATGGAGACGTACGACTACATCAAGTAAACGCTTCCGTTTTCGATCTACAAGGGTACGTAGATCACACTCTCCCCTCTCGTTGCTATGCATCACCATGATCTTGCGTGTGCGTAGGAATTTTTTTGAAATTACTACGTTCCCCAACACTCTCCTCTACCAATAAGGACTCTCGATGCCAGCCCTTGGCTGGTGAGGCGTACCGCGTATGACTCCACGATGACATGTGTCGCGACCATGGCGGCCTTCGACGAAGAGGAGGGAGTGAAGGGAGAACGCGATGGGGGGGAGGTAGGCGTCGACATGGCCGGACTGCAAGATCAAGATATGATCTGTGTAGGCGGTCGTGGGGTCTACCTCAGACCAACGTAGCTATTGTCTGGTCTTTGACTATCCCAATGCATGCCACATAGACAATACCGCCCACAGAAACTACTTAAAACAGGCCGAGGGGGTGTTTTGTATGGTTTAAAAACTTCAGAGGATTAAGATGTCAGTTTTAGAGGTGAGGGGGTGATGTAGCCGAAAGGTGATACTTTAGGGGGTTATGTATACTTTTTTCCTTCTTCCAAGAGTCCGCAGTCAGCCTGATTCTTTCGATGCAAGCTCCCCTACCGGCCTACCCCTCATAGCCATGTGCTTTTCCTACATTCATGTTTGCAAATAAGCTCTTAAGATAAAACTCATCAGTTAAGTGAACTAACAAACCTGGCCTATACAATAACATATGTGTCATAGGGGAGTGGCTATCTGTAAGTTGTCTATGATGCCAGCCAATTTTTTTCTCCCGCTCCTCCTCTTGCTCCTGGCTCCCTTCTTCCTTCCCTTCATCTTCGACATCCCTTCTTTCTCTTCCGACCATTCGCGTCCATGCTTCTCCTATGGTTGCAATTGGCGCGTATTGCTACCACTCATCGCCTCATCCTTGCCCCTGGCAAGGTCGTTGTATAATCCAACCAGTAGTTAAAAAAAGCCCTACCTGCACCTATCAAGCCCCCACCTGAGATGTCATGACCGGTCCCGTCGTCTACGACTTCGGCTCGTTCTAGGCTCGACTCGTCGTCGGCTCTGCACCTTGCCGCGGCTCGTGGCAAGCCCCCATCTCTGCCTCAGGGTCGCGCCATCTAGAAATAAACTGACACGAGTTACAAATTCAGGCAACTTACTGCTAGCAAATGCGGTGTCATAGATCAACGTCCATCTAGTACATTATTCAAACCATAGATGACACAAACAATTTCTACAACTATATTTTACACGGTGGAACAAGAAAGCTCGTGATACTTAAGTTTGCGGTCAAACAAAAGTGGAGTTATGACCGCATTTTTATGACCCACTATTAAGTGGCAATGCATATTTCAACCGAACATGGAAACTACCTCTAGTTGACCCATTCTGTGACTTATATTTAAATTAATTCTAGATGCTCAATAGAGTATGAAGTGTGAAAATGCATTTTGCCCCCAGTGACATCGGGCCTGGTATCTAGCCCGCACATCTGCGTCCTGATTGCGATGCATGCCCTTTTTGGCCTTCGTATTCATTACAGTGTAGACCATATCAATTATAGTTCGGGATTTCACACAATCTACATGCCCCTCCCCCGCCCGTGGTTTCCTTATGTTCACAGGCTTGAGGGACATTGGACATGGCCTCATTCACAATTATGGTTTTACAACATAAACATAAGTTGGACTTAAAAAGATGTTTCGGGACTTTATTGACAAGATAACATAAAATTTTGGGCAGGAGATCATGTTCAAGCATTGCAACAATTAACGATGAAAATTAAGCAAGTATTTGTTGGAATTGAAGATTGCCTGTCCAATGAACCGTCAGCTACCCGCTAGTCCACAAGACAGTGATTACAACTTAATCCAACACGTGAAACAAAAAAAATCAACATGAAAAGATCATCAAACGTCCGAAGGGAAGTAGGACCAGCCACCTCCTCACCGAGGTCCGCATCCAGAGCGCGCCAAACAGCATCACCGCCGCTTGGCCTTACATAAGTGCAACACGAGATGTATATACCGGTTGGAGTTGGGGTTCTCTTCTTCCCCGATCCGTGGATATCGCTTTCTCCGTTCCGGCAAGGGCACATAACTCCAGCGCCGGCAACGCCGACGCACGCGCAATCGACATGTGCGGGGTAGGGAGGATGAAGGACTCCCGAGGAGTGGACTGTATTTTCCTTTTCTTCTAGGGTTGTGTACTGGTGTTTGATTTCGGCTCTTCTGGAAAAAGGAAAAAGGAAAAAAGAAAGTTACCTCCTTTTTTCTTTGGCGTGGCGTGTCTGACAACCCTGTCCCACCTCCTCATCGCCTCCCTGTCCAAGCCGCGTGGCTGGGCTGAGAAACCCAGGCTGAGCCGCACCGCACGGCACGCCCACGCCCGGCCGGCCCATCCCCCCCACTCCCACCAACGCCACGGCGAAGAAGCTGCTGGGTCTGGGAGGGTGGCGTTGACAGTTAGATTCGCCACCGCCGCCTCCGCCTCCGCCCCCGCCCCCGCCCCAGCTCCAATCTCTCCCTCCCGGGACCGTCGGCGCGGAGGACTCCGCCCCACCCCGCCCCCAGCTCGATCCCGCCGCCCCGCCCCGCCC